TTTGGCGTAAGTAAAAAGATCTTTCCAGCTCAGTTTGGGAGGGGAAACCAAAACATAAAACAAACAAACTTGGGCAGTTTTATCTTCTTGGAAATGCATCAGAAACCTTTGTGTGTTCATATCGAGCTAACATTCTGTTTCACTGCTCAAATCTTTATTATATGCAAATATTTCAACTAATTTTTCATTAGCGTTTCCTCTTCTATTCTTACTGACCAAAGGGAATATGTGATGCATATTCTTGTTTTAAAGTTCTTTTTGTGTGTCTTATACTTTATAATGCATTATTTTCTTTCTGAGACTGGATAGAACTCCTAGTTCAATCTGGCAAGAGATTAAAAAACTCTAATAGTGCTTGAAAGCTGTTCTGTTCTCATCACATCGACTTAAAGAATCATGGATAACTAACACAGGAATACTACAAGTTAAACCATGTATTTTTGTGGGGATTTTTTTCGATTAAAATCTATAGCAGTTTGATTCAAAGCCCAACAAGAGAAGCAGAATTTTCACATTTTGTAATTATAGTCAGTACATAGTAATAACCAGCTGGTTATTGACATAAAAGCACAACCTGTGTATGCAAATTAGGCTATCTTGACTGTCATTAGAGACAACAGCCTTGAGGATGATGCAGCAATAGATGGTATTTGCAGCAGGGACAGAGGAGGTGTGTCCCTGATGCCAGAAAAAAGAACAGTGACAAAAGAAAATAAGCTCTCGAGTCAGCATTTGTAAAGTCCATTGTCATTGCAGTAGCAGCTGCGTGTGGAAATGAGGCAAATAGAATTTGAAATGAAGAGCTGGAAAAGAAATTGCCACTTGCCTGCAGGGATGGAGACAACTATTGGGCCTGATTGCCAATTAACTGCTCTATTTTTTTCTGACAGCTTTGATAACAGGTCAAAAAAGTGGCAGGAACTGCTCCTTGACCTACTCACTTCATCCTGTGTGGTTGCTCAGCCACAGAAACTCCACTGCACACAGAGAAATACCACGATGGTTGGTATCTGTATTGTGTTGGATGTGGACAATTTCCAGGAGACTCCAGGGAACTGTCATTAGACACAAAAAGCCTTCCAGGCATGGAAGGCAGGCTAGGGATACATGAATATTGTCAGTACACGTTCAGGATATTGTCAAGGACTAAAAAGAGGATCAAGCGTGCTTTTTCAGCATTAAAACAGTGTTTGTACCTACCCTGTCCTGGGACAGCAGGAGATATTTTAATGTAAGCACAGACTACAGACAATCAAAGTGTCATCTGAACACCACCAGAGTACAGAGAAATGTTCTCTCTATGTACTTTTCAGCAGGTAGTCATAGTTCCAAGACAGATACCTTTGGAGGCTAAATCTTGTCAGAATTGCCTGTGCACTGAGTCATCTTGGGTGCTGATTAGCCTGGGTGTGCAAGGTATTTATTAGCTTAGATAGAAGGTCCCTGTTTCTGTATTGAAATTGTCTGAAATGTCTGACTAGTTTGGGTGTTGTCTCTGATGGTTCAAATTGTCTCTCCTGAATGCCAGAACCATGATTGCAGTACTGCCATTTAATTGACCAGCTAATTTACCCTGTAATGATATCATAGGCTATTTAAGGCTGTCTCTTTAGAGCAGAATTATTAGCTTTATTTATCTGCTTCATTCAAGAACAGATGTTTCTACTGTGTAACTGAAATAATCTACATCTTTGGAAATCAAAGATTGCTATTTTCTGAAGTAGAAAATGATGTGAAATCTAAATCATGAATCATAAAAGGGCAGCAGTGAAACTAATTGCATTGCAACTTTTCAGAAATTGTTTCTCATAAAATCTGACTCATGATAATGGTAAATAGTTAAAAACATTAATAGGACAACAGAAGTGACGTTGTCTTTTACACCTGCATGGCTAAATAGTTCACTTATGCTTTGTTGTGCTGTTTCTGTGTTTCAGAGAATTGTCATCTGGTTTTTTTGCAGATTTGGAGTCCTTTAAATTTCCTTAGTAATTTGGATTTAAATGTTTTATTTTTTCACCAATTTTTCCACAGTTCATTATTTCTTTAATTGCCAAACCAGGTTTCCAGTGAAGGTACTTGCACTTCCAGAAACATCTGTGTGAAGGGTAATTTTTTTTCTGAATATATATTTTAAATATCTTTTTTCTTTTGAATATGAAGACTGTACATGCTATTGGTAAGCTTAGCAAAATGGATAAGTAGGATTTTAGTACTTAAATAAGATCTAGTGACATGAAGGAAAAAGACTTAACTTGCCACCCACACTCAAGGCCATATCCTGTGTGACCTGCAGGAACAGTCCCAGTGAAGACACAGAAAATACTAACCCAAGTAAAGCAGACAGGAGCTATTTAGAATAACCCACTGTTGTTTAAGAACTCTTTTTACATAGCATCGTGGAAGAAAAGCTTTCCACAAAAGGTGGGAAACAAAGGGACAGTCTTTCCCAAGGGCATCCAGCATGATCCATGATAAAACTAATTATTGAAGGCAGGTTTCCCCTTCTAGAGTCTTGTCCAGTGGGTAACAGTACTGTTCTGTTGATATGCACAATTTTTGGGGAACAAGCAGCTGCATATAGCAGATCTGAATTTAATTAATATGAGCAAATGATAGCTTGGTCATTACAGGACTATTTTTCTTCTTGCTCTAATGCAAAACCACTAAACCAGAAGGGGAATCATTTGCAAGTATAGAGCAACTTTGATGGAAATACTTATGGAAGGTGGATTTTTGCCCCTTTTGGCTTATAAAGTAAAAGCAAAGATTAAACTTTGATGTTTATGGAAGGCACAGCCCCACCTGCAGCACGATGTGCTCTCTGTCTCCAGCCAGGTGCTGTCAGAGCTGAGTGCAGGCAGGTGGTGCTGCCCTGGGCTTGCCTTGTGTGTGCCCGTGGCACGGACACAGTGGGAAATGGCAAAGGCAAATACAAACTTGTGTGTTGAGACAATTGTGTGTGACTTCTGTACAAAGCTGCACTTAGTACTGACAAGTCTGAATCATCCTGTTGCAGTAAAGCTTCAATAAGAGGAAATGGGCAAAGATCTGTCATGGGGATTTGTTGACCTCTTGCCTTCAGTTTTGTTTTGCTTTTTTATGGAGGTCAGTAGAGAAAGATTCACACTGAGACTCCAGTCTTTGCTCAGTAAAAGCCTTCATTCGGCTCTTTGACAGTGTTATGAGACAACAGGGTGTCAAAGGAGTGGTGCAGGTCAGGAGCTGTGAAAAGGCTCCTCAGTGTTCACCCACAGATTGTAGGCAGGTACTTGAAAGTGTCCCACTGAGGTTTATTGCTGTGTAAATGCTGGAGTGCTCAGTGCTTGGCAGGACTAGATCCTAGAACTAACCACTACTTGGCAATGAAACTGCACTGCACTTAGGAATTGATGTTTCTAAAAATTGTTTGTTGAAGTGTAAGGAGACTATAATGTTGGAAAACCACTCAAGCATGGAGGTAGATTGCTGGTCGGTGCTTATATGCAAATGGAAGCACCAAGTGTATGTAAACAGGTGCTGCTGTTGTGAATTCTCAGTCACTATTACTGAGTGAAAAGAATTGCTGGTTATTTGATGTACTTTAAAGTGTTGTTTGTAATGTTTTAAGTGTGCTAGGCCTGGACATGTCATTCAAGTCTGCTACCTTGTGTTGAAAAGATCAGTAACTTATATGTATGTGGAATTACAGCCTTATATCTTTCCTGTTTATTATTATTAGGTATAGGCAATTGAGGACGACACTTCCTGCTGTCCAAAGATGGAAAACAACATAACTACTATATCTCGTGAAGAGCTTGAAGAACTAAGAGAAGCATTTGGTAAAATAGGTATGTTTTAAATAATAAAACAATAAGGATGCCATTAACATTGCAAAACTGTTTATGATTTGTGGAAGAAATCTTTATGGATCACCTTATTTTGACAGGGACGTGTTTTCCCTCTATGTTCCCGGTAATATCTAATAAAATAAGAATGTTTACATCCAGCCCCATATTTTCCCTAAAACTATGTATGTTAATTTCTTTCACCTTCAGCACTGAAAACAGATGTATTTTCTTACTGGGCAGTTGCGTTATTTGTGCCTTTGCATATGCTACATAATAGGTCTCAAAATTCAGTTTTTTGATTTCCTTAAATCTGCAAAAAAAGTTGGATTAAGCTTCCGGTCTTATATATTTTCTTGTTAGATTACTGGCACTTGGTTTTTACTTTACTTTCATGCTTTGGTGAACTAATAATTCCTCTTTTCATTTATTCTATTGGATTTTACATTCTAAGTAAGCTAAACTTGCAGATTTTTTAGTCTTGCTTTTGCAGCTAGCAGATGTTAATAAACAACTACAATTTTCTATGTTTGACAGGATGTTTACAGATTAATCAGAGTAAACAGAGTGAGAAATTAGATAGCAACTTACCCTTATTTCCAGATTGCACTGCTATTGTTAAAGTTCATGTCTGCTTTATTTCCTATTTGCTGCAGTTCTGGGGGGTGATGTGTGACTGTGCAGCTCAGGAAATCAAACAGACATGTTTGCATTCAGTCATAATGGGGGGAACAGGGTAATGTCAGACAAGAAGTCTTAAATGTTATGAGTCTTTGGCTTGGTGAAGAAGCTATTGGGAACCTGTATGTTAGAGATTTAAGACAATGAGTAGGAGGAGGTGAAGAAGGAATTATTCAGTTTCTGTCAATAGAGGTATCACTTGATGCCCAATAGAGTCAGAAAGCTTAAAATAAAAATAAGTAACTTCTCTTCATTATAAATAATTAAACCATGAACCCATTGACTCAAGACCAGAAAAGAGTAGATATCCTAAAAGGAGAAAGATATATCCATGGAAGCTAATTCATGAGTTGCTGTTAAAGACTCCTCATGACATCTGTAGCTCAAGGAGTCTGTAGCCTGCAGGTGCTGGAACAACAGGCCAAAAGGAAGAGCACTATATACCTGTATCAGTGTAACATCAGGGAGATGTTAACATAGGTAGATACTCACTGGTGTTGTCTAACTGCTTTTCTGTTTGGTTGGGTTTTCACCATCTGCATTCCTTCTTTTTCTCCATTTCCTGCCTGCGTGTTTTCACATTTCTGCTGTAAGAATTGTCTGTCCTGCTCCTGTTCACTGAAAAGCACTTTCTTCTTTATGCTTTCTGTAAAATACAGACATTAAACATCATTAGGTTTTTTATTTTTTTTTTCATTTTTACTTTTCCAATGTCTTTATGGATAAATTCCTTGCAGCTACATTGGTAAACTGAGAGAAGGCATGTATTTAACTCTCAGCTTGTCATCATGGAAACTTACCCCTGTGAAAGATGAACCTAGAGAAATAAAATAGCTGGTAATCTGAGTGAGCTCATGAGCATGTCCTCTGCTGTTTAGACCATCCCTGTTATTACCTGTAGTTTTACATGTCTGCAAACCAGTGGATTTATTAATGCAGTTGCAGACATAAAATTGTCTGTGTAGTCATTTATGAGTTGTTGATAGTATTGAAAACACAAAATTATTGTTTTTAATCAGGTGTTTTTAGCCTTTTGTCAGCAGTGAAATGTGGCTGCCATGTGAAGCTGTACAGAAGCTACACAGTGTAGTATGAATTACAAGAAAATTAGTGTACAGCAATCAATTATGGCTAGAGATGAAAGCATGTTTCTCTGCTTGCCTTTCTGCAGTGAGAGGCATATTCATCTCCTGTGGTATTATTGGCTGAGTTCTGATACCACAGACAATAAGAAGAGAGGTTTTTAACTAGAAAACAAACAAAAAAAAAAGTGGGAGCACCTTGCTAAGTCAGAAAGGTGGTCACATCATCTGCTTCTCTTTTTGACTGACTGTGATGTTCTCTTAAATGGCTTCCCTTAGATTGATTGTTGGTAGAGCTGGGAAAATACTATTAACTAATATTTTTCAAGAGCTTTAATATGATCATAGACATTGTAAATTATTGTCAAACATGGAAAATATTAACCTTAAATATATAAAATGATGGGCATTATATCCAGCATTACTTAGGCTGGATATGATTTCTTGTATTTGATTGAACTTCATCTATACTGTGTATGGACTATAGCTTTTCTGCTTTTAAAAGTACTTCTCTCCATTGTATAACCAATGCACTACAGGTACAGGTAAGGCTCTTTTACTGGAATATTCAAATTCTGCTTGTATAAATATGTGTATTTATACAAGTTAATGTGGTTGGTTCATTTATGTGTTACTCTGGGTAAAAACATAGGTGTAAAATGATGCTTTATTACACTAAGATGAATTCAAGTCAGCTCTCTGCACAGAGATTGGCCTAAGGTGAAAGTACAAAGGGTATTTTTGATTGTTTCTCTGCTGCTGCATTATTCATGATGAGTAACACAAATTATACTCAGTTTTTCCTAATTTATTTTTATGATACAGTCATTAATTTCCTTCCCCAATTGTGAAGCTGTACTATACCTCTTTTTGAAAAAAAACATTCTGATACTTTGCTGTACATGAACATTCTTGCCATGTGGTCTTGGGAGCCAAGTGTGAGTGAAGGTGGCAGCACAAATTGTTCCCAACAGAGCTAGTTAATAGATTAAGGAAGGTCACCTTTAATAAACAGATACAGATCATCCTGGATTTATTCTTCACAGGTAAGCCTAACCACATCAAAAGTTTTGAAGAACAGAAAATGTCTATCAGATACTAGGATAAGAAACAAAATGCAGAGTCAGGCAGAGTTCTTGTGTAAGTAGTTTTTCTTGTGTAAGTGTGCTCTTCTAATAACAAAATGCATCAGGTCTGAGTTTCCTGATTGCAAATGGTATAATACTGACAGGAAACATATATTAATTGATCTCCCTCTCACTTGAAGGTTTATAGATAATTTTGTTGGGCGTCTTAAAAAAAACCAACTTCACTACTTGATAATTTGCTATCTTGTGATAGGTGTGCTTTGGATCATAAGATAGCTCCTGAGAAAGTACATCACAAGATGGCACAAGGCCTAGACAGTTGTCCCTGTAATCCACAAGCATTCCTTCATACTTACTTATGTCTGTCAGGAAAAGAAATACTTATCTGCTAGAACTGCATTTCTCACACTTTATTTATTCTTTACAGTTACTACACTTGGTTCTTTATGTAAGTGTAACAACCCGTGCTTTCATTTTCCAGACATTGACAACAGTGGGTACGTCAGTGATTATGAACTTCAGGACCTGTTTAAAGAAGCAAGTCTGCCCTTGCCTGGTTACAAAGTCCGGGAGATTGTAGAAAAAATCATTTTAGTGACAGATAGCAACAAGGATGGGAGAATCAACTTCGAAGAATTTGTCTCTGTAAGACACTCTCTTTGGATGTTTCTCTACTGTATGATACCTGTTAAGAATTAGGATAGAAAACTGAATTAAGTGCTATAACTAAGTACTATTTTAGATAGATATAACTATTATTTTGAGTTTTCTGTGACAATTTAGAATATCCTATATAGTTATTTTACTCTTTCGCTCTCCTTTTTAATTTAATAGATCTGATATGAGCAGCATGTGAGAGTGCCTTAGTTGAAATCAGTCCTGTTTTGTTTATTCAAAGATGAAGGGATGGACTACCTATTTTAGGAGCTGTTGGGGCAGCCCTTGCTCTGACAAAAGAGCAGACAATTAGATACCAGGCTCTGAATGCTCTTAGTAGTGCAAACATTAGTCTATCACTATGCTTAATCTCTGTACTAAAGGCTGGTTATTACTGGGACTGAGGCAGAGTTTTTCCCTTTCAGTGAACAAATTTCAAAGGTTTAGACTTTTTAAAATGAGGATTACTCACTAGTGGGCTTTAAAAGAAACAAAAGCTTATCAGGCCGTTGATTAGTGTGTGTTTGGGATGATTATTTTCTGTTTCGAATTTGGAGTAGTGCAGCTCATTGCAGCAGGTTGCTTGTTAAACTAGCTATTGATCTTTCCTTTCAAGATTCTAATTTGAAGTGGTTCATAGGTGAGATGCAAATATTTGCCCCCACATGTTGAACTGTATTACTTGAGACCTCTACAATATTTTGGCAAATCTAGGACGTGGTTTACATTGCAGGCAGGTGAATAAACAGTATTAACTTGGTTAAGGACATGTGTAACTGTCATGTTGTCACCTTTTACTGTGCAGCATGTGGTGAAATAAGTGGGAGAAATATGCTATAGGCATCGAAAATGTGCATATCTTTAGATGTGTGTTTCAGTTTACTAAAACATCTATGGAAAAATTGTGTAGATATTTGTATGTCTACTTTTCTAGTTACCACGGCTTAATTAAGTTATTCACTGAGAAATAATATGTTAGACATCCACTATGCAAGTTTCATAAGAGAATTTAAACTAGTTTTACCCATACAGTAAATTTTTTTTTTAGAACAGAAGTCAATATAAATAGGCAGTCCGGTTAACTACTAACTCTGGAGTACTTATATGAATTAACAGTTCGTTATCTGAAAGTATGATCAATTACAAAATACTCTCTACTTTTTTGATTTCAGATAATTCAGGAATTGAAAAGTAAAGATGTCAGCAAATCTTTCCGAAAATCAATAAACAAAAAGCAAGGTATTACAGCGATTGGGGGAACATCAGCAATCTCTAGTGAGGGGACACAGCACTCTTATTCGGGTAAGAAATAATTAAACATGAGCAAATTTTGCATGGAGGAAACTCTTTTAATTTGCACTACAGACAAAAAAACCAAACAATGGAAAAATGTTGGTGTTGAAAGCAAATTAACACAGAGAAAGTATGTGGAGATAGACAAGTGTGGACAATAGTTTATTAGCTATGTTCAGTTGTTACTAGTTTCATGCTGTACTTGGAGGCAAGTGAGACACTTTGCAAGAGCAAAAGAGCAAAACAAGCAGTGACAGCATGTAAGGGGAGAAAAATGGCCCCTTTGGCGTTCTTCTAGTAATGGTAGTCAAGCTTTTGCCTTCATTACATGCTAATCTACTCTTATTCCTACATTCAGATAAAAATGAATTCTCATTTTCATTTCCACAGTGTTAATAGCATAAACTAAAAAACCCTTAACAAACCACCATATATCCTTTGTGGGTGGCATGGCCCCCTCAGTTGTCTCTGCCATTACAGAATTGTTCAGTCCTGCATGGTTTTTGCATAGCCTCTCTTACACTTAAGAAGCTGCTTTTAATATTTGATCTGTTTCCTTCTGCCTCCCCCTGCTGCATGTAATTTAAGTTGGTAATTGTGCCTAATTGCATTGCAGCTCCTGGCCAGAGTGTTAACCACCTTCCAGGATCACATTGCTATCAGCAATATTGCAACTTTTTTGATTGATTTGAGTCTGGAATTTGCTGTGGTTCCAGACCGTGTTAAGATTCCGTATATAAGAAAGATTCACTTTGGTTAAGCAGAGCTGGCAATACCCTCTGTTTCAGTATGATTCTTGTAGCACCAGCTGCAACTGGTAGATCTCCAAAGCTGGGAATATGTTCCATCTCAAAGGATACCTGTAGGGCATCAGAGGTAATGGTTTAGACTCCCTTTCATTTTTGGTAGAGAGAAACAGACCCCACTGAAGTGCAGTTCACATGGCCTGGCCTCATCACCACCTCATTTATGATGAGATGAAGGGTGCACTAGAATTTCACATTGTTTCCCACTGACAGTGGAAGAAGTGTAAGGAGTCAGGTGTAGGGACCCTCTTGTTTGCTTCTTGAGGTAAGTGAGAGGAATACCACCTGTGCTCTTTGGGATGTGGATACTGATGCTTGAGTGACTGTTATCCCAATAAGCTTTCTTAGATACACAGTAATAAATTCTGCACTAAATATAAGGAGAATTTAAAACTGAGATATTAAACTTCTTAAGTTTCTCAAAACTAAATACAGCTCAACAGTCCAGATCAGAGTCTCAAAAAGATTGACAGTCTCTCAGAATGAAATGCTGTGTTTTAAACCAATGGTGTATAAATTGTGTTGTTGCACATTTCTGATCAGAAATCTTCCTCTTTCTTTGTAATTGCTGAGAAACTGAATTTGAAGTCAGCCATGAGGATGCCTTCCCTATGATGTCCCTTTGGTGATTATCTGAAGAACATAAAAATCAGATATTTCGAGGGTGCAGTAGGAGAAAGATCAATCTGTACTTGCCATTTTTGTGTTCTTTCCCACTGG